CTGGCAATATTTGCCTCAGATCTGTGCAGAGCCTGCTCCCTACACTCTTTACTCCATCTATCTCCTACTTATCTTCCAGGTCTGAACTGACCAAGGCTAAGGGTATGTGCTCTTAGGGTATCCTGTTCTTATGACCCTAACCATCAGACGGAACATCTTTATTGCTGTAATTATGTTCCTGCATATATTTCCCACCCAACTGTAAGCCTCAGGAGGGCAGGAACCCTTTCTTCCTCCTTACTCATGATTGTGTCCCTCGTGCCTAGCACAATGCCAAGCACATAGTGGGTGCTCGACAAACAACTGTTGAATGAATAAAGGGTAACAATTGGCAGATGAATAGAGGAGGAGGAAGTGGTCATTCAGCCTATCCCAGAAGCAGGACATGGTATTAGGTCAGCTGTCTCCAACTGAGACGGAATTCCCCCAACTTTAAACTCAGACGCATGGAACTTTTAAGACTCAGTTTGCACTCTCTCTCTTTCACAACAATTCCACAGGTGGTTGAGGACAAATATAGAAGTTACCCAAACCCTCACTTCTCCTGGTTCTTTCCCCATTCCCCTTGGGGCACCTTTTCTAATCTCTGGACATGCTTTGAGAAAGAACCCCCGGCATCCCTGTTCATTCGGTCTGTACAAGAAGCAGGGCATGGTATTAGGTCAGCTGTCTCCAGTGATGCCTTCCCATGTTCATGATGTTTCCCAGACATCTACTAGACTAGAGCACCTAATGTAGAATGAGTAAGTGAATGGAAAGAAGCATGAGGGAAGGGAGAGAGGGAGGGAGGGTGGAAGGGAGAGAAAGGAGTGCACCCAAAGAATGATGTCCAAGCCCTTAACAGAGGGCCCTAAGGGGATCAGGCCACAGAGAGCCATCGAAGGGCTCTGAGCAATGGCTTCACATGACCTGACCTGACCCTTAGCACCCTTGGGGTTTTCCCCTACAGTTAAACACACTTTATGATTAGGGACTTGACCCTAATTTATGATAGACAGGAATATGGCACAATGGAAAATAGACTTTGGTGCAACATAACCCACACTCAAATCCTAGCTCTGTCACTTAGCAGCCATACGATTTGAGCTGTTACTTAAATTGTGTGAGCCACAGTTTCCTCAGTTGTTACTATTGTGCTGCTAAGCTTCCATGAGTGTTAGATAACATCAGCACCACACCTGGCCTACAGAAGGCAGACAGGAGTGTGATCGAATGCATGATACTTCTTCCTCCCATAAACCAGCTAATGCATACCTTCTATGTGTAGGCGGTAGAGATTACTATAATATTTATTATGTGGTAGTTCTGTTGAGCCCATTTTTCAGGTGGAAAGTTGAGATTCAGAGCTAGAATATCTTGCACAAGCTCACAAAGAAGGCAAGTGGGAGAGCCAGTAAATAGTGAGGTAGATGCCAATGTGGCTGCCAGCCACAGCTTTGGGCAATGAATGCCCTTATCCTACTCACAGGTCACACAGACCAAGGCTGTGCGGACAGACAGGTCTGCAAACAGTGTCCAGCTCTCTGACACCTGGGAGACGACGAAGGGGATGATGATCTCGGCGGGGACGTGGAACTGGAGGGCGTAGGTGAAGAAGATGCCAATGGAGTACATCAGCTTGACCGACTGGTACAGCCTGCAGACACACAGAGAGGACGGGAAATGCAACGTGGCTCCTGGGCAGGGCCATGCAGGATTCGCTCACCTCTCAGAAGCCGGCACTTGTGACAGAGCTGGCAAACTTCCAGTGACTCAGGCTGGACCTGCCATCAGAGCCACCTGGAAGCTTATTAAAAGTGCACATCCCTGGAGAGTCTTAGTCAGCAAATCTGGCTCAGAAACCAGTGCCTTTTTTTCCTTTAGGTTTTTAAAAAGGTATATCACCCTAGCTGGTTTTGCTCAGTGGATAGAGCATCAGCCTGCGGACTGAAGGGTCCCAGGTTCGATTCTGGTCAAGGGCACATACCTCCGTTGTAGGCGTGATCCCCTGGTTGGGCTGTTAGGAGGCAACCAATCAATGTGTCTCTCTCACGTCAATGTTTCTCTTTCTCAGTCTCTCCCTCTCCCCTCCACTCTCTCTAAAAATCAATGGAAAAATATCCTTGGGTGAGGATTAACTAAAAAAATAAAATAAAAAGGTGTATTGGCATAGAGTAAAATTCATAGCACTAAAGCCCTGTAGTGAAAAACCTCCCTCCCACCCTTACCAGTTTCTCTTTCCACAGACAATCCCTCGAACAGTTTTCTTGTAGCCCTTCCAGAAATCAGTAGATACACAAGCTTATTTAGACTATAGGTACACACACACACACACACACGCACATACACTCACACGGCAGCATCCTCTACACACCACTGAGCTGTCTTTGCTCATTAACTATGTCTTGGAGATTGTTCCCTGTCAGTACACATAGACCTGGCTTTTCTTTTTAACAGCTGCTTGGTATTCCAATTGCATGGATATACTACAGTTTTTTAACCAGTCCCCAGTGAAGGGGTATTTAGATTATTCCTAGTTTTTTCCTGCCA